TGCACCGGATCTTAGTTGTGACAGGTGGGACCTTCAATCTTTGTTATGGCATGTGGTTTTTTTTTCTTTTTTAGTTGCAGCACACAGGATCTTTAGTTGTGGCATGCAGACTCTTAGTTGCGGCATGTGGGATCTAGTTCCCTGACCAGGGAATGAACCCAGGCCCCCCTGCATTGGGAGCTTGGAGTCTCAGCCACCAGACCACTAGGGAAGTCCCCATAGATGTCCTTTGAGATAGTGTTGGCGGTGTCATTTATTAAGTGAGGTGGACATGAGCTAAGCTGGCATCTTACAGCAGGAAGCCCCATTTTACAGAGGAGGAAACTGAGGCTCTCGGGGCAGTTCTGTCCTGAGTCCCCATCCATCTTTTCCTCTGAGAGCCCCAGCAGGAGGGGTCATCTTGCCTTGAGTGGAATCTGCCACCACCTCCTGGGACTCCAGCTGCCCTGAGGGTTTTGTCTTTTCAACATCCTTTGGTCCTCAGACCTGTCTTGGTGGGAAGAGTTGGATCTAAGACACATTTGGGGAGGAGGTGGACTTCAGGGCCCTGTCTGTATTGACACCCGGGGGTCCGAGCCCATGCTGGGCATCTCGGCCCCTGAGCAGCGGCCTCTCTGGTCTCCGCAGATGTGTGGGCCAACGTGAAGGTGGAGTGTGAGCCTAGCTGGCAGGCCTTCCAGGGCCACTGCTACCGCCTGCAGGCTGAGAAGCGCAGCTGGCAGGAGTCCAAGAAGATGTGTCTGCGGGGCGGGGGCGACTTACTCAGCATCCACAGCATGGCAGAGCTGGAGTTCATCACCAAGCAGATCAAACAGGGTGAGGAGCTGCCTCCCCAAGCCCTTCCCGGGGGCTCAGGCACTGTCCTCGCCTCCCCTGCCAGTGGAGAAGGCCGACCTCCTGACGTCCCCTCTCCCTTGCCGCACCCCCCCAGAGGTGGAGGAGCTGTGGATTGGTCTCAATGACCTGAAACTTCAGATGAATTTTGAGTGGTCCGACGGGAGCCTCGTGAGCTTCACCCACTGGCACCCCTTTGAGCCCAACAACTTCCGGGACAGCCTGGAGGACTGTGTCACCATCTGGGGGCCGGTAAGAACCCTCTCTCCTTATCACAGGGCCCCCAGACCTAGCCTCCCCGTGCCACCGCAGCTGAAGGATGTCCCGTTATTGGCTCCTGCTTGTGACACCACCCCCTTGCCTCTCGGAAGTCCCCTCTCCCCATCGTGTCTCCTTCCCTTCCACTTGGAGAGATTGCCAGGGTTTGAATCTCCTCTCCACCTCCAACTAGCTGGGTCATCTTGGGCAAGCTACTTAACCTCTCTGTGCCTCGGTTTCCTTAGCTGAGTTTCCTTACCCTCAGTTTTCCTAGCTGTCAGTGGAACTCTAAAGGTGCCAACCTCAGAGGGTCTTCATGAGGATTAAAGGAGTTAAATGAAACCTTTGGACATTTGTCGCCTGGCAGCGATCTTGGTCCCCTGCGGGCTGCACTTCCCCGCCAGCAGGTGGCGTCAGAACCCACATTATGTGACAAGCTCCCCAGGCAGGGGGAGCTGCTCCCTGCCAGCCCTGCCCCAGCCCGGGGTCCTGTCCTCTGAAGAAATGGTGGCCTTGTGACTGTTTGCCATGGCTGTGGCTCAGACAGTGTGGGCAGATGAAGGAATTTATACAGGGTTTCAAACAGAGTTAAGTCTATTCCTTAAAAGACAAAACTGTAGGACAGACTGCCTTCCTCAGAGACAGGACATTCTACCTTGAGATACAGCCAGCAGTGCCAGGGACTCTAGAGGCATCTGGCTTAGAGGATGCTCTTTAAAAGTTTATGAACAGTTAGGAAATGGCTACCCACTCCAGTATCCTCGCCTGGGAAATTCCACGGACAGAGGCGCCTGGCGGGCTATAGTCCGTGCGGTTGCAGAGTTGGACACGACTGACAACACGTGCTTTTATTGAGCATCTGCTAAATACTGCGCATTTTCCTGGGGGCTGAGACACACAAACACCTCTGCCCTCTGGATGGCGCTCAAGGCAGACAGAAACGGCTGGCTGGGTGCACTGAACACAGGCCTTTAGGAGGAGATGAGGACTGAGTTCCTCTGCGGCTCCATCAGCGAGGAGAGGGTCTGGGCACACAGCCTCTGCTTGCCCTGGATCTGCAAGTACTGACTGGACATCTTGCCAAACTGGGAATCTCATCTGTCTTGCCAATGGTCTTAGCCAGCGTGGTGTCCTTGGTATTTATGAAGTGAGGTAATTTAAAAGAGCACCTTTTCCATTTTGACAGTGCTTGTCAAAGTTTGGAGGCATTGGCACAGCTCCTTTGTGTGCTCGCATCAGCCTAGTGAGGCTTATGGCACTAATCCTGCACATCCCCCGTTTCCACCATGGAGCACAGACAGGTCAAGCTTCTTGCTCAGAATAGCCCAGCAAGTCAGAGGCAGGGCCAGGTTTGGGAGACTTGGGGCAGGGAGACTGACACTGCCCCTCACCCTGTGTCCCTAGGAAGGTCGCTGGAACGATAGCCCCTGTAACCAGTCCCTGCCGTCCATTTGCAAGAAGGCGGGCCAGCTGAGCCAGGGGGCCGCCGAGGAGGACCACGGCTGCCGGAAGGTGAGGGTGCTTCTGGAGCTGCTCCAGGTGGGGCCAGCCAGAGGGGCTCCCGGGGGCAGGAGGGATCCCCAGCCTCCTGTGGCACCCTCCCTTTCTCCCGCCCTCCAAACTGCTCCGTCCAGAAGGAGTGATACAGGATGAGGTGAGTGCGGGTGGAAGGCTGTAGGGAGGAAGCGGAGCTCCTCACCCCACCCCAGCCCTGAGCCCCCTCTCCATGGAAAGCCACTGAGAATTTGGAGGTGGGGGTGGGCGGGCCCCCCACCCTCAAGGCTGGTCCAGTCATCACCTGCGTGGAGGCTGCTGGGGACCACCTAGGGCTCCTCTGTGTACCCTCCCTCCACCCCACTCCCTGCTCTCCCACCCGTCTGCTGGCACGCACACCAGCGGTGGACACAGCGTGTCTCTGTCTTTCTCCTGGGGGGGGGAGGCGGGGACCAGGCCGCCCTGGGTCTCCCCCCCTGTGCTCCAGCCCTAAGGAGAGGAGGGGTTAGGACTGAATGGGGCAATGAATGAGTTGGGGAGAGAGGGTGTGAGTGAGGGTGAGGGTAAGTGACCTGTTTCCCTCCTCCCACCCCACCCCCCCCACCGGCACCGCTGCCGCCCCGACAAGCAGGGACGTGAGCAGTGAGGACTATGTGGGCAGGCTGCTCATAAAGGCCACTTTGTGGTGTTTGGGCCCCTGGCGGCTCCCTCTGCCAAAGCCACGTTCCTTCTGCCAGCCCCTCACTGCCAGTCTGGTTCCTCACTCTGTTTTCCTTTGGATTAAGCCCCTTATCACACCCACCCACCTGCACCCCAAACTCTCCCCTAGGGGGAGAGCAGGAAATGCCCGCAGGCATGAGCTCCAGTGGGGAGGAAGGGAGAGCACATGGGCCCGGGCTGAAGAGTGTGGGGGCCAGCGTGGTCGGGCTGGCGGGGGGCTCTGACCAGGCTGGGTGAGGCAGAGGAGCTATTACTAACTGCCCCGCACCAGGGCCGGCCTAGAATGGGTGGGGGGTTGTTGAGCCGCCATGGTTAACACCCCAGGAGAGCCAGGGGTCTTAGCACAGTCCTGCTGGAATATGGGGATCTGGGCCCCGCCCCCCATACACACATATACATACACATGTAAACACATAAACGAAAATGAAGAGAAAGTGTTAGTCACTCAGTTGTATCCAACTCTTTGTGACCCGTGGACTGTAGCCTGCCAGGCTCCTCTGTCCATGGATTTCTCCAGGCAAGAATGCTAGAATGGGTTGCCATTCCTTTCTCTAGGGGATCTTCCCAACCTAGGAATTGATCCCAGGTCTCCTGCATTGCAGACAGGTTCTTTATTGTCCAAGCCACCAGAGAAGCCCCCCAAACACACATATACATACATACATAAACACACGTATCCACACATAGACACATATCCATACACACATACACAATAGGCACATACACACACATAAACACACACACACACACACACACACACACGGGCTTCCCTGCCTAATGGCTCCGTGGTAAAGAATCCGCCTGCCAATGCAAGAGATGTGGGTTCGATCCCTGGGTTGGGAAGATCCCCTGGACTAGGAAATGGCAACCTACTCCAGTATTCTTGCCTGGAAAATCCCATGGAGAGGGGAGCCTGGCGGGCTACAGTCCATGGAGTCGCAAAAAGTTGGACATGACTCAGAGACTAAACATCATGGACATCTACACACATAAACACACATACACATATACACAAACATAAATATGACTAAACACATACATCTACACATACATAAACACACATATACACACACCAGCTTGTTCTGAACTGGCTCGTGCCCAGGGGGCTGCCCCCCTCCCCCCGCCTCGCCTCTCTCCTGGGCTCCAGCCCCCACCCCCCAGGTATCCCACTCGAAGGCCTGCTGGAGGCCAAGACCCTGGGAGGCACCCGGGGTCATTTTAGGAGGAGCAGGGCTGTGGCGGGGAGGGACACAGTGTCTGTGGCGTGGGTTCAGGCCTGGGCTCCACCTGCACTGTCTGTACAAAATCAAGCCATGTAATGTCTCAGAGCCTCGGGTCCTTGTCTGCAAGGCAGGGACGGAGAGGCCCTCAGGGTGACCCAGGGGGCTGCGGGTTGGTGGGGTAAAGCCTCCCTGGTCTTCTGGGGTGGGTGGAGGGGCGGGTTGCAAGCGGGCCTTGAAGGAAGGGCGGTCTACTGCAACTTTGCTGCCCCTCACTGAGGGTTTGTTCTCCGCCCCCACTGCGCTCAAGCGGGCGCCGCCTCCATTCCATTACTCCAGCTTCTCCAGGCCCCTGAGGACCGACCAGCCTCCTCCACTTGCTGGCCGCTCTCCCAGCTTTTCAGCTCTCATTTCCCAGCCAGCTGGCAGTTTTCCCAATACGTCTCCTGGTTCAAATACCCAAGAGGAGAGTCCAGTGGGCCACTCCTCTTTCTTGGCTGGGCCCCAGGCCGGGTGACTGGCTGCCTCCCTTGGGCCACACACCCACCCCGAACCTGGCAGCTGTGGGTGACGGTGGGCAGGGCAGTGTGGCGTGGCACAGTGCAGACACAGCATAGGAACAGCTGGCTCTGGTGCCAAACCAGCCCCCTCGGTCCTGTGCCCAAGCCTGAAGAAAGCTCAGCGGTGCCGCTGTTGGCATCCCCACCCCGGGATTTAGGGGTGAGAGAGAAGCAGCCCTCCCCCAGACACCCCCTTTTCTGCCCACTTTCTTGAGCCAGGGTTGGACGTGGCACAGCCCCTCCTGCTACTGGCTGGGAGAGGACCCGGTGACCTACAGAGCCCTGGGAGTGGTGGGGGTTGAGCTGCCTGCCTTGACCAGCCTCTCTCCCGCAGGTTCGAGCAGGCCTTTGTCAGCAGCCTCATCTACAACTGGGATGGCGAGTACTTCTGGACGGCCCTGCAGGACCTCAACTTCACTGGCTCCTTCCGCTGGCTCAGCGGGGACGAGGTCATGTACACCCACTGGAACCGGGACCAGCCCGGTGAGCCCCTCGCTCAGCCCCCTTCTTGGCGGTGCCTTGGTGAAGCTGGGAGGGCCGTGGTGGACCACCCCTGCCATGACCGAGACCCAGGGCCTCATAGGAGACAGCATTCATAGTGTGGTGATATGGTTAGAAGGATGGGCTCCAGAGCTGAAATGCCTGGCTCAGGTCCTGACTGCAGTTTATTAGTTGCCCATCTTTGAGCCTCAGTTTCCTCATCTGTCCAATGGGGATAATGGTACTTTCCTCACAGGGTTGATGTGAGGCTTGAATGGGTTAATATATGTAAAGCCTTTGGAATAGTGGGCATAGGACAAGTGCTTGCTATTATTCCATTTCACATTTATTATCTTAAAACATTTTTTATAAATCTTTTATTTTTTTAATTTATATTTTTGGCTGTGCTGGGTCTTCATTGCGGGCTCAGTGGTCGCAGTACACAGGCTTCTCTAGTTGCCCAATGGCATGTGGGATCTTAGTTCCCCAACCAGGGATGGAACCCACATCCCTTGGAAGGCAGATTCTTAACCGCGAGTCCACTGTTATCTTTTTTAAGCCCTTTCAAAGTTGGAGTGGATGATGAAACAGGCTCAGAGAGGTTAAGCAGCTTGCCTAAGATCTCACAGGAGTCAACGTAGGGTGAGGCTTCTGCCTCCATTTCCCTCCTGCTCTCCAGCCCCACCGCCCCCAACCCCACAGCGCATGTCCCTGCAAAGATGGCCCAGCTGGCTCCCCGTGTGGGGGCCATGGAGGTGCCCCTCGGGGACATGAGGGAGGGCTCAGTGTGTGGGTTCCCCCTCCCTCCTGCAGGGTACAGCCGTGGGGGCTGTGTGGCCCTGGCCACGGGCAGCGCCATGGGGCTGTGGGAGGTGAAGAACTGCACATCGTTCCGGGCTCGCTACATCTGCCGCCAGAGCCTGGGCACGCCCGTGACGCCTGAGCTGCCCGGGCCAGACCCCACGCCCAGCCTCACCGGCGCCTGTCCCCAGGGCTGGGGCTCAGATCCCAAACTCCGGCACTGCTATAAGGTAGGCAGCCTGTGGGCCTCGGGGTGGGGAAGAGAAACGAGAGCAAAGAGACAGTGTCCCTGGGTGGGGGGCAGGGGGGTGTGGTCCCGGTGGGACCCAGCCATGATCCAAGCAGGTGGACCCTAGAGAAACTTTTCCCCTTAGGTCCTTCCTGTTGAAACTCTTGTCAGTGTCCTCTGAGGCCTGGTGCATAGCAGGTGCTCAATAAACAATTGAGGAATCGAAAAACCCCCAGAGACCATCAGTTTTAGAGATACTCAGATGTTGGGGCCAGGCTGGCAGTTCTTTAGAATTGCCCAGGGAGCCTGATTTATACGTGATCCCTTATATATGGAATCTAAAATGTGACACAGATGAACCTATCTATGACACAGAAACAAAATCACAGACGTAGAGAAGAGACTGGTGGTTGCCAAGGGAAGGGGGTTGGGGAGAAATGGAGGAGGAGGTTGGGGTTAGCAGATACGATGTTATATATATCATGGGTAAATAACAAGATCCTACTGTATCGCACAGAGAACTATATTCAATGTTCTATGATAAATCATAATGGAAAAGGATATTAAAAAAGAATCTATATATATTTATGGGCTTCCCAGGTAAGACTAGTGGTAAAGAACCTGCCTACCACTGCAGGAAACATAGTGTGACTCGAGTTCAATTCCTGGGTCAGGAAGATCCCCTGGAGGAGGGCATGGCAACCCACTCCAGTATTCTTGCCTGGAGAATCCCATGGACAGAGAAGCCTGGTGGGCTACAGTCCATAGGGTTGCAAAGAATAGGACATGACTGAAGCGACTTAGCACACACACATATATATTTTTATAACTGAATCACATTGTTGTACAGCAGTAATTAACATAACATTAAAATCAATGTTTTAAACCGAGTACTTCAGTTTAAAAAAATTGAAAAATCTTCCAGGCTGTCACTATAGAGATGGGGATTCAGTGGGCTGTGGTGGGGCCTGGTAATCTGTGTTTTTAAACCTGGCTGGGTTTGGGAGGCACTGAGGTAATCCAGGGCCTTTTATTATAGAAAGATGCTGAAGTCCAGGGAGCAGAGGGCCTTGCCCACAGCAACTGTGGCTCTGCTGGGATAAGAGCCCTGATTGCCCCACTGGTCATCGGGACCGTCTCTGGGAGGCGCCTGTCCCAGTTTCCCTCCCTCTCTGATGAGCAGGGCTGTCTTAACTGGCCTCAACTCCCTGCCCAGTGCAGCCCCAGCCCCCTCCCCACTCAGGTCCTGGGAGGGCAGGCGTCCGGTGGGGAGGCAGGCCAGAGGGACAGCTTGGACTCCACCCCTGCAGGTGTTCAGCTCGGAGCGGCTGCAGGACAAGAAGACCTGGGTCCAGGCCCAGGGGGCCTGCCAGGAGCTGGGGGCCCAGCTGCTGAGCCTGGCCAGCTATGAAGAGGAGCACTTTGTGGCCAATATGCTCAACAAGATCTTCGGGTACTGAGCTTAAGGCGGTGGCCCACGTGCACGTGTGTGGGGCTCTTGGTTTTGCTGGACACGGGGCAGTGGGCCGGGTGAAGGTGACCCCAGAGAGGTCTGTCCAGGGCTTGGAATGACCTGTGTGTCCACTGCTAGTGCCAGGCCTGTCCTGTCCCCACTTGAGTAACCCTGGTCTCGCTGGAGTCGGAGACCCTGTGTTGCTCATTTGAGCCAACAGCACCCTCTCGGACTCAGATTACACAAACCTAACCCTAACCTTTAGGGGCTTTTCTGGCGGCTCAGCAGTAAAGAATCCCTGTGCAGTGCAGTAGACACAGGAGACGCAGGTTCAATCCCTGGATGGGGAAGATTCCGCTGGAGAAGGGAATGGCAACTCACTCCAGTATCCTTGCCTGGGAAATCCCAAGGACAGAGGAGCCTGGTGGACTGTAGTCCGTGGGGTCACAAAGAATCAGACGTGACTGACTGAGCACACATACAACCCTAATCCTTACCATCTTTCCTTCTCCATGGCACAATCTCCTAGAAGCTTATCCAAGTGAGTGCCCCCCACTCCTGTAACCCTACACCATCCCATAATAAACCATACTTCTCAAACAGCTTCTCCTGAGAGACAGGACGAGAAAGGCTGCAAAAGTGAGCATTTACCCATGGGGGTTCCCCCAGAACCCAGTCTCTGTCCCGTGGGTTCCTATGACACACAACCCCATCATCCCTTAGCCTTGGGAAACATCCAAATGGATCCAGGCTTCCTGAGATCTTAATTCCAGGGACGTCTCCTCCCAGCAAACAGCACAATGATATTATTTGACTAGTGATTATTATAGCCCATGTTGATCGCTTCTCGCTGTGTGCCAGAGACTGCACTAAACATTGAACCCACATTCAATGCTCTCCTCGATCCTACAAAGTAGACATTATCCCTTGTGGGCTGATCAAGAGGTTGGCTTATTTGCCCAAGGTCACAGAGCTAGCTGGTCCAGGGATGACCTCGGACTGGAATCGAGGTGTATTTGAGTCCACAGCCCCAGGTCTATGCACTGCCCCTGTCTACTTCCTAAAGTGAAAGTCTGCAGACTTGCTGGCGGGGCACACCCTCCCCAAAGGGCAGCAGTGGAAGGGGCCAGGCCCCCTGCCCTCAGTCAGTGAGCGGGGTGCCCGGCCCAGCTGGCCCAGTTCTCTCGAAGACATTTTAGGGTGGCCTCAACAGTGTTTTCAGTGTGAACCCCAGATGGAGAGGCTCCAGGCCCCCAGGACTGCCCGAGTCACAGCTCCAAGGATTCCCCTACAACTCTCACCCTCCCATGCCTTCTGTCTCCACCCCCGGCTTGTGCTGAAGTGAATCAGAGCCCGAGATCCACGAGCAGCACTGGTTCTGGATCGGCCTGAACCGTCGAGACCCTGGAGCCGGGCAGAGCTGGCGCTGGAGTGATGGACTTGGGGTGAGGGGGCCTGGAGGAGGCGGGGCGGGGTGGACCGGATGTGGGCGTGGCCTTTTGGGGTGGGTGTGGCCTTTCGAAGGTGCGCAAGGTTCAGTAGAAGCAGGGCATATGGCAAGGGCCGGCTGGTGAAGGGTGCCTAGCCCAGGCTTTGGGGGAGGCGGGGTCCCAGCTTATGCCAGGCGTCTCGTTGGTCTGTTCTGGGGGTGGAGGCAGCCTGTGCCTGGTGCCTGAGGTCCCTCTTCCCCTCTGACATCACCAGTTCTCTTACCACAATTTCGACCGGAGCCGGCACGACGATGACAACATCCGCGGCTGCACGGTGCTCGACCTGGCCTCCCTGCAGTGGGTGGCATGGGGTCACAAAGAATCAGACGTGACTGACTGAGCACACATACAACCCTAATCCTTACCATCTTTCCTTCTCCATGGCACAATCTCCTAGAAGCTTATCCAAGTGAGTGCCCCCCACTCCTGTAACCCTACACCATCCCATAATAAACCATACTTCTCAAACAGCTTCTCCTGAGAGACAGGACGAGAAAGGCTGCAAAAGTGAGCATTTACCCATGGGGGTTCCCCCAGAACCCAGTCTCTGTCCCGTGGGTTCCTATGACACACAACCCCATCATCCCTTAGCCTTGGGAAACATCCAAATGGATCCAGGCTTCCTGAGATCTTAATTCCAGGGACGTCTCCTCCCAGCAAACAGCACAATGATATTATTTGACTAGTGATTATTATAGCCCATGTTGATCGCTTCTCGCTGTGTGCCAGACTGCACTAAACATTGAACCCACATTCAATGCTCTCCTCGATCCTACAAAGTAGACATTATCCCTTGTGGGCTGATCAAGAGGTTGGCTTATTTGCCCAAGGTCACAGAGCTAGCTGGTCCAGGGATGACCTCGGACTGGAATCGAGGTGTATTTGAGTCCACAGCCCCAGGTCTATGCACTGCCCCTGTCTACTTCCTAAAGTGAAAGTCTGCAGACTTGCTGGCGGGGCACACCCTCCCCAAAGGGCAGCAGTGGAAGGGGCCAGGCCCCCTGCCCTCAGTCAGTGAGCGGGGTGCCCGGCCCAGCTGGCCCAGTTCTCTCGAAGACATTTTAGGGTGGCCTCAACAGTGTTTTCAGTGTGAACCCCAGATGGAGAGGCTCCAGGCCCCCAGGACTGCCCGAGTCACAGCTCCAAGGATTCCCCTACAACTCTCACCCTCCCATGCCTTCTGTCTCCACCCCCGGCTTGTGCTGAAGTGAATCAGAGCCCGAGATCCACGAGCAGCACTGGTTCTGGATCGGCCTGAACCGTCGAGACCCTGGAGCCGGGCAGAGCTGGCGCTGGAGTGATGGACTTGGGGTGAGGGGGCCTGGAGGAGGCGGGGCGGGGTGGACCGGATGTGGGCGTGGCCTTTTGGGGTGGGTGTGGCCTTTCGAAGGTGCGCAAGGTTCAGTAGAAGCAGGGCATATGGCAAGGGCCGGCTGGTGAAGGGTGCCTAGCCCAGGCTTTGGGGGAGGCGGGGTCCCAGCTTATGCCAGGCGTCTCGTTGGTCTGTTCTGGGGGTGGAGGCAGCCTGTGCCTGGTGCCTGAGGTCCCTCTTCCCCTCTGACATCACCAGTTCTCTTACCACAATTTCGACCGGAGCCGGCACGACGATGACAACATCCGCGGCTGCACGGTGCTCGACCTGGCCTCCCTGCAGTGGGTGGCCATGCAATGCGAGACGCAGCTGGACTGGATCTGCAAGATCCCTCGAGGTTGGTGGGGCGGCGCTGCTGGACCCAGCAAGGGATGACGGGCGGCAGGGCCCGGGGTCCAAGGAAGGGTCTTCCTTCTCTGCAGCGTGTCTGTCCCTGTTGTCCCCATAGGCACGGATGTGCGGGAGCCTGACGTCAGCCCGCAAGGTGAGGCTTCCTGTCCATACTGCTCCCCGTGGCGGCCGGCTGAGGCAGGACTTAACCAGGACGGAAGGAAGGGGGTTAGGGGTTTGAGCCGAGGGAAAAGGGGATCGGGGCACATTACCCAGGTCAGATGGGCTTGCAGGCCCGCCTGCCCTGGCTGCCCTGAACCCGCCTTGTCCTCCGTGGGCGGGGCGGGCAGGAAGCCACAGCCTGGACTCCACCCCCACGCTGCCCCCGCAGGCCGGAGGGAATGGCTGCGTTTCCAGGAGGCTGAGTATAAGTTCTTCGAGCACCACTCCACGTGGGCGCAGGCGCAGCGCATCTGCACGTGGTTCCAGGCCGAACTGGTCTCAGTGCACAGCCAGGCCGAGCTGGACTTCCTGGGGCACAACCTGCAGAAGGTGGGCATGCCAGCAAGCAGGGAGGGCAGCCCGGGAGCCAGGGAAAAGGCCCTGCCAATCCTCACCTGCCTGCCCGGCTTCCCCAGTTCTCTCGGGGCCAGGAGCAGCACTGGTGGATCGGCCTGCACACCTCAGAGAACGACGGGCGCTTCAGGTGGGAGCCCTGGCCGGGCGGTGGGTGTGGCTGGGCAGCGGGGCGCATGCATGGATGGTTAGCAGGGACCCAGGCTGGAAATAAGAGGCAGCATTGCACACAAGAGACAGATTTGGTTTTGAATCCAGTTCTGCCCCATGCAGGCTGTGTGGCCTTAAGCAAGTAACTTCGGTTTTCTCACCAGAAAATGAAACAATGAGGCCTGCCTGGTAGGGTTGTCCTTAGGACTAAAAATAAGGTGTCTGAATCCTCCGTGCTGCATCCAGCACATTGTCGTTTACTCACTCAGTCGTGTCTGACTCTTTGGGACCCCGTGGACCGTAGCCCGCCAGGCTCCTCTGTCCATGGGATTTCCCAGGCAAGAATACCAGAGTGGGTTGCCACTCTCCAGGGGATCTTCCCAACCCAGGGATTGAAGCCATGTCTCCTGCATTGGCAGGTGGACTCTTGACCACAGAGATGCCTGGGAAGCACATTATTAGGCACTAGATAACAGCAGTTCATATTATGCTGGGGTCACTCATGAAAAGGGTCCACTAAAGACATGGGCAAGAACACATGATGGTCCAGAGGGGCCTCTTCATGTTCAGGGCTCACCTACCAGGCATGAGGCACAGGGAGACCAGGAGAGCACATGAGTGTCTGAGCACAGCGTTGCCACTGGCTCCTGCTCTGGGACCCTTAGACTTTCTTTTCTAGTTAGAGAAATGGATGCCCAGGAGGGCTGGGCCTTCCCTGAAGGCACTGGGTCCTTGGGTTCCTGCTGCATTGAGCACAGTAGCCTTGCTCCTCAGTCTGTGGCCCTGAGCCCCTAGATTTGGGCCCTGGTCTTTGCCCCCTCGCTTCTGCATTCAGGGGAGGTCTAACCTGGTGCCCCGTAATGGATCACTCCTGCTCGTACCATTGCAGGTGGACAGATGGTTCTGTTATAAACTTCATCTCCTGGGCCCCTGGCAAACCTCGGCCCATCGGCAAGGACAAGAAGTGCGTGTACATGATGGCCAGCCGAGGTGAGGGCAGGGTAGGGCAGAGAGGGTGCAGAAGCCGAGGGGAGGGTTGGTGTTCGGGGCAGTGAGGTGAGCCTGGGCAGGGGCCCTCGGTCTCTCCTCATCCTCTCTGTTCGCCCAACTCAAGAAGGACTGGATCCAGAGAGAGGAGGGCTGGTGCCTGTCCAGCAGCCGCAGAGGACTTGAGTTCAGAGCTGGACGTAGGACCCGAGCCCCAGCCCCGCCTCCCCTCAGGGCGTGAGGCCAGGTGCTGGCAGCCTGGCCCCGCACTTGGAGTGACTGCTATTCACTTTTCACAGAGGACTGGGGGGACCAGAGGTGCATGACAGCCTTGCCTTACATCTGCAAGCGCCGCAACAGCACCAGAGAGCAGCAGCCCCCAGACCCGCCGCCCACAGGGGGCTGCCCCTCTGGTTGGAGCCAGTTCCTCAACAAGGTAGGGGGCAGGGAGGGGGCGCCTGAGGGGAAGGCTGAGCCTCAGGAGTCCTGGCCCTCTGGCAACATCAGAGTCGTGGCCTCTGAACCCACCACCCTCTCCCCTGCTCAGCCCCAGGACCAGGGCTAGACCCCTTGGACACTAACTCAGCATAGTAACACCTTCCAGTTAATCAAGTAATAAGGTTGCCCATATAGTTTGGTGAGTTTTCTAGATCCTTGGTCACCAAACATCTTGATGATGAACTCCTATTAAAACAAAATGTTGAACATACAAAATATATATGTGTGCCTTATATATGTGTGGAAAAGTAAATATATGTATTTACTTCCATATTGGGACTCCCCCAGTGGCTCAGACGGTTAAAGCGTCTGCCTACAATGCGGGAGACCGGGGTTCAGTCCCTGGGATGGGAAGATCTCCTGGAGGAGGAAATGGCAACTCACTCCAGTATTCTTGCCTGGAAAATCCCATGGACAGAGAAGCCTGGCAGGCTGGAGTCCATGGAGTCGCAAAGAGTCGGACACAACTAAGTGACTTCACTTTCACTTTCCATATTAATGTGACTGCTGTCATATATAATAAAATATGCACAAGAACAAAATCTAAAGCCTGAGCTAAAGATTTTAAAACAGTATTTTTAAGTTTTCAAAATTTTTCCTTTTAGTGGTATGAAAAACATTTTGTGCTCACTCTTCAATTTATCAATTATAATAATTATTACTATTTTAATAATTTTGATAAGAGCAAAGTGATCACATATACTTCATTATTTTTATTTATTAATTTTTAATTTCTTTATTTATTTTTGGCTACACTGGGTCCTCCTTTTTACAGGACCTTTGCAGGCTTTCTCTAGTTGTGGCAAGTCGGGGCTATTCTTCACTGTGGTACATGGGCTTAGTTGCTCTGTGGCATGTGGGATTTTCCCCGACCAGGGATAGAACCTGTGTCCCCTGCATTAGCAGGCAGATTCTTAACCACTGGACCACCAGGGAAGTCTCTATACTTTATTATTTTAAAAAATCTAGGTCTGACACTGATTCAGACTTCACAGGTCTTGTTTGGAGTTCAAATTATTTTAGAACATGGATTGAATGGTTGTTGTAGATGAAAAGATTGCTTTACAAAGACAAATAGATGAAGAAGGAAGTTCATCCATCATTGGCTGGGCTTTCTAAGTCCTTCTCTCCATTTTTCAGTCCTTCTGCCAGTTAAATGCCAATTAAATTTTTCAGTCCTTCTGCCGATTTTTGTTTAAAAACTGGCTCATCAATTTTTGCATTTAAATGAATCTGACTTATAAACTACTCAGAACTGATTGAGAGGGTTTAAAAAAAGTCTTTGGAAGATTTTTTTAAAAACAACATTTAGAAGATTCTCTTTCCAACTATTTTGAGTGTACAGCTATGAGAGTTTGAGGCAATCAAAAGAATCAGGATGGATGTGCATCTAAACATGTTTTCAAAATGTTCCTTCTAGAGTGTGAGTTTCTTTCCAAGAGTGGTTAGTGACCCATGGGCTGATTCATTCAACCTGATTAGACCTTCATTGTTTTTATCTAGTGGCTGAAAGAGCTTATCCCAGGAAGGAAAGTGTGCTATTTCCTTGTGGTTTTCCCTGGCATCCTTAGTATGAGCTCTGAATCATGCCTTCTTTGCCGGACACTGTAAGACTGTTTAACCGAACTGTGAGGATTAGATTAGTTAACACTAGATAACCCAATCCATAAATCTTTGTCATGCACTGGAGTGCAGCCAGCTCATAGTGTCATGGAGCTCTCACTGTCTTCAGATTATTCAAGCAAATAATACACCTTTTCTGCCTTAAAAAAAAAAAAAGAGTAAGATGTATTATTCATATTTTTAAAAAAAAACCCTAAAACTCATCTAGACTCTCCAGAGATAACCACTATCAATATTTTTTATTCCACTTCTTGACTTTTTCCATGTAACTGAGATCATACTAAATAGCACAATTTTGTAGCCAACTTTTTTTCCCTCAGTATTGTACTTTGAGTCTTCCTCCATGTCATTGAATTGTTCCAAAAACTTATTCTTATGGCTTCTTCCACCTAATGTAAAACAATATATTTCATATATGTAACCGGTCCCTTTCTTAATTTGTCAGCATCATTGTAATGATACCAATAATTCTTTTGAAAGCCTTTGAAGTATATGAAGCCAAGAACCAAACAGACCTTGTCCTCAGGCGTGGCCCAGGGGTTGCTGTCATAGGTGGTGGAGCATTTGGTGGCCCAGAGAAATCTTCCCACTTTAAAACTCCCCAGGTGTGGGCCAGTGTATTTGAATCTGCCATGCCAGGTTGGGAGGGTATTGGAGCCTTGGTCAAGGAGACCCAGCTGTCCTGGTTCTCCTGTTTCTCTCTCCCAGCCCCCACAGCCTCCCCAGGGCCTGGAGCTGAGGGGTTGGAGTTTCTGGGTGTGGGGACCAGGGAGGGGAAACTAGATGTCATGCCTCCCCCTCCGCCCCACAGTGTTTCCGAATCCAAGGCCAGGACCCCCAGGACCGGGTGAAGTGGTCAGAGGCGCAGTTCTCCTGTGAACAGCAAGAGGCCCAACTGGTCACCATTGCAAACCCCTTAGAGCAAGGTAGGGCCAGCCCAGGGGGAGGCCCCAGAGTCCTCTGACACCATCCCCCTAGACGGCTAGAACAGAGTGAGGACGGGGCTGCTGCCCTGTGGCTCATGACTCTGTTTCCTGGGGGACTAGCGTTCATCACAGCCAGCCTGCCCGATGTGACCTTTGACCTTTGGATTGGCCTCCATGCCTCACAGAGGGACTTCCAGTGGGTGGAGCAGGAGCCTCTGCAGTATGCCAACTGGGCCCCCGGGGAGCCCTCTGGCCCTAGCCCTGCTCCCAGCGGCAACATACCGGTGAGGAAGGCCCTGCCCCATGCTCTCCTCTGCACCCGCTAACCCGCCCTGGCCTGCAGCACTTGTCTTCACACCCGGGGACCCCTTGCAACCTCTTTGCTCATAGTACAGACTTTTGGGGGTGGTGGCACAAGGCAGGCAGCTCCTGGGGCTCCCCTGAGCAGCTCCTTCCCCCCAGACCAGCTGTGCGGTGGTCCTGCGTAGCCCCTCGACCCACTTCACTGGCCGCTGGGATGACCGGAGCTGTGCAGAGGAGACCCACGGCTTCATCTGCCAGAAGGCCACGGGTAGGTATCACCCAGGAGCCTGGAAACCTCAGCCCAGGGCTGGACGCTGTGGGCTGAGCCAGGAGGAATGAGGCATGGTCCCTGATCTCAGGGGACCACTCTGCTTGGGAAGCAGATGGGCAGAAAGGCCAGGCACCAATCAGAGGGACAGGCAGTGAGCACCCAGGGGTTGCAGGAGGAAGGTTTGGAGGGCTGACCAGGGAGAACTAAGACACTGGGCTTGCGTCGTGGCAGGGACCCCGTGGTTCTACATCTGAGGCTCCTGCAGCTCTGAGCAGGGGTCCCTCGGCTCTGGGCTTCTGGTCAGGCTCAAGGTTGCTCATCCCTTTACTAGTAAGAACATATTAATAACAACAGTGACTGACGGTTACTGTGCCCAGAGGAGAGTTGGTCTCTGCCTGCTGTTCCCCCTTGGCCTCATGCCTGGGGATGGGGTGAGGGGAGCAGAGCCCGGCCTGAGTCCTGCCCCCTTCCCTGTAGACCCCTCCCTGAGCCCATCCCCAGCAGCGTCGCCCCCTGCCCCGGGCGCTGAGCTCTCCTACCTCAACGGCACCTTCCGGCTGCTGCAGAAGCCGCTGCGCTGGCACGACGCCCTGCTGCTGTGTGAGAGCCGAAATGCCAGCCTGGCCCACGTGCTCGACCCCTACACCCAGGCCTTCCTCACTCAGGCCGCCCGAGGGCTGCGCACGCCGCTCTGGATTGGGCTGGCCAGTGAGGAGGTGGGCACCGGGCTGGGCCCCCCTACCCCCAGCTCCCTCCCTGTCTCCTCTTGACGCCCTGCTTTCCGTGGCCCCCCACCCCTGACCCCGTCCTGGCTGGTCCCCTTGCTCCCACCCTGATGGCCCCCTGTGCCCAGGGCTCCCGGCGGTACTCTTGGGTCTCGGAGGAGCCGCTGAGCTACGTGAGCTGGCAGGACGGGGAGCCCCAGCTCCCAGGGGGCTGCGCCTACGTGGACACGGATGGCGCCTGGCGCACTACCAGCTGTGACACCAAGTTGCAGGGGGCTGTGTGTGGCGTTCACGGCGGTGAGTGCCCGCCCACCGGGGCCGAGGGCTGCGCCAGGGGGAAGCCGACCCCGGGAGGACCCTGGGTCACTTCTTCAATCCTGCATTTCTCCCCCACAGGGCCCCCTCCTCCGCGACGAATAAGCTACCACGGGAGCTGTCCCCAGGGGCTGGCGGACTCGGCATGGATTCCCTTCCGAGAGCACTGCTACTCCTTCCACATGGAGCTGCTGCTGGGCCACAAGGAGGCGCTGCAGCGCTGCCAGAGAGGTGGGCTGGGGGGCGAGCGCCCCCACCTGGGCGTTCCAGGTGGCGACCCCTCTCGAGGGCGCTCAGAGACCCCACGAATGTGGTCCCCGTGTCCCACTCTGCTTGTCGGCTGCACTCACCTCTCAGTGCCCCTCACGGTCCAATCCACACAGACCACCTGGGACGGGACATGGATGTAAATGTAGCCCCCCGTTACACGCACGTCTCCACGCCATCCTCTACTCAGGCTGCCAGAGAAGAGGGCGGGGCCTCTCCGGGGGCTCTGCTACCCCCCAGGAGACTGGCCTGCCCTGACGTCGGCCTCCTTTGTGTCCAGCGGGCGGCGCGGTCCTGTCCATCCTGGATGAGATGGAGAATGTGTTTGTCTGGGAGCATCTGCAGAGCTCTGAGGGCCAGAGTCGGGGCGCCTGGCTGGGCATGAATTTCAACCCCAAAGGTGGGTCCCCTGGGTATAAGGTCAGGAGGGGCAGGCCTCAGGATGCAGATGAGGCCCTCCACTGGGGCTTGGCCGGTGGTGAAGGGTGGAGGGGTGGGGGATGAGGACCTGTGGGAGGGAGGTGAGGATCTGTGGGAGGTGGTGTTTTTCTAGAACAGGCCTCTTCTCTCCCATCGGCTTCTCCTTGTCGCTGCCCGCCCCCCGCCATCCCCAGCAACGCCCCCCCCAATGCCGCCTTTCCCACAGGGGGCACCCTGGTCTGGCAGGACAACACAGCTGTGAACTATTCCAACTGGGGGCCCCCGGGCCTGGGCCCCAGCATGCTGAGCCACAACAGTTGCTACTGGATCCAGAGCAGCAGTGGGCTGTGGCGCCCGGGCGCCTGCACCAATATCACCATGGGCGTGGTCTGCAAGCTCCCTCGAGGTGCGGGGGACATCTAGTGCTGGGGGGCGGGGGGCCCCCGGGCCGCTGCTCATTCTGCAGCCACACAGTGAATGGGAGGGAGTCAATAGGCCTGGGGCTGCTGGGACCCTCCTCTGGGATCAGTTGGTCTGTACCAACGGCTGGCCCTTCCTGCAAATTGCCACAGTAGACAGCAAACCTGTCATTTTGTCATGGTTAAAGGCAGGGATATGGGGTTCGAGCCCAGGCCAAACCATTTGCCAACTCTGTGACCTTGGGTAAATTGCTCAAGCTCTCTGACCTTAGTCTACTCATATGTAAAATGGGGGTAATAAAAGTACCTATGGGCTGCGAAGGTGGCTCAGTGGTAAAGAATCTGCCTGCCAACGCAGGAGATGGGGGTTCAGTCCCTGGGTTGGGAAGATCCCCTGCAGGAGGAAATGGCAACCCCCTCCAGTATTCTTGCCTGGGAAATCCCATGGCCAGAGGAGCCTGGCAGGCTACAGTCCAAGGGGTTGCAGAAGAGTCGGACACAACTCTGTGTCTAAACAACAAAAATAATAAGAGTACCTATGAGAGAAGTAAATGAACCAGTGAAGTGTCTGGCACTGCAGAATATGTTCTTACATGTTTGCTTATTATTACTATATTATTACTACCACTGTTGTTAACTGGTCCCTCCTCCCTTACAGCTGAGGCGAGCAGCTTCTCCCCATCAGGTGAGTGGCAGGCAGGACTAGCCCTCTCCCCCGGTCCTGGTCATTCTGGGCAGCGGGCGGGCGTGGCGGGGCTTCTGACCAAGGGTCCTTCCGGCCGCAGCAGCCCTCCCAGAGAACCCCGCGGCCCTGGTGGTGGTGCTGATGGCGGTGCTCCTGCTCCTGGCCCTGCTGACCGCCGCCCTGATTCTCTACCGGCGGCGACAGAGCGTCGAGCGGGGGGCCTTTGAGGGCGCCCGCTACAGCCGCAGCTCCTCCGGCCCCAGCGAGGCCACTGAGAAGAACATCCTGGTGTCCGACATGGAAATGAACGAGCAGCAGGAGTAGAGCGGAGGGCGTGGGTGTGGGGCCGGGGGGCTGGGCCCCCCACCAGCTGTGGTCCAGTTGGCCTATGGGGGTGGGTGGCGCCCTGGGAAGCCGCTGGGGCTGGCAGGGCCTGGGCTGGTGGGGTCCCTCCCTCCCATGAGGGCTGGGCTGAGGCCTGGCTGAGTGCAGCATGGCGTTTCCTTTTGGGGGGCCCTAAGGTCTTGTCACCCAGGCCTGTACCCCCATGGTCACTGGAGGCAGGACGGGAGCCTCTTTCTGCCTCTTTCTCCCTGTCCCCACCCCCCACCCCCCCCATCCCCCTGCCCTGCATCCCGCCTGCTCTCCCAGCCCTTCCTTCTGAGCCAGGGCCCTGGGGTCTGGGGAGCCCTCTCGCTGTTGGTGGGGGTCACAGGGGGGTTGAGCATTTGTCACTCGTGTGCCTGCTGGGGTGGCCATGGGGCAAAGCGGGAGGGTTCTGGGCCGGGACTGAGGACCGGAGCATCACTGTGGTATCAGCTGGGCTGGAGACAGGACCAGGGAGAGACACCCTGACCTCCTGGGGATAACCGGGCTGGGCTGGGGTGTCTTCTCCTGCTGGTCAGGGGAGGGCTCTGTCCCTATAAAGTCCCCTGTGGGGACCAAAGTCAGTTCCCTAAGGTTTCCAGGTCCTGGCTGTGGTTTGGAGAGAGATAAGGTGGTTGGCCAGAGTCGGTGGAGCTGGGGTGCGCCCTCTAAGGGGGGCCCAGAGGAGTAGCGCCTGAACCCCCTGGAGTGGCCCCTGTGTGGGGGAGACGACCCACCCAGAACCTTTCCAAGAGGCTGGAACCCCAGTTAGAATCACCAGTCCTGGTGCCACGGCCCAGGGCAGTGTGAACACAGACTCCAAGACATGGTCCTTTTTTGTAGTTCTTAATTTTTTTTAATGTGCCATTATTGTCTTAAAAGAAAAAGATAAAAGAAAAGCAAACAAATAAAACACCTTTAAGAGGCTTGAGAGAGAAGGGTCCCTACTTTGTCTTGTTGGGAGTCTTGTCCTTCATACCGCTTCAAAGATACGTGTTATTTTGGGGGGCTTGCATCTGTTTTGCTTCTGTCTCGGGGCCACGGGACCCCAGCCTTCTCTCTGCTCCTGGGGATACATGTGAGAGTAAGCATTCAGAAGCCAAAGGACAGTGGCATGAGCTTGGGCAGCTTGGCTCCCCTTTCAAAGTGTAAAACAGGAGAACAGGACGCAGCTCCCAGGCTCCTTTAAGGAGGCTGAGGATTAAGTGAGGTCACCTGGGCAAAGCAGTCTGCGCAGGGCCTTGGCGCTGGAGCTCTAATTGCCCATAAACGTCACCGGGTAGCGCTTGTCTCTGGGCTGTGGCTCCCAGGCCAGCGTGTGAGGTGCCCCTCTCAGACCGGGGTGGGGGCCCCACACCACCATCTTCCGAGACAGACCTACATTTGAGCTGCAAGAAAGTGAGTACACATTTGTCCCTGGGAAGTGTGGGCTCTGCAACCGCCCTGAGGCAGGGGAGTGGATCACAGGACCTCCCCTGCCACCGTCACCTCCATTCAGGATGTTTGAACTGGAGTTAGAGTTGCAAACAGAGAAGCCTTGCCAGCCAACGATGGTCAACTGTGCCAGGTCGCGCTGGGTGCAGTGAAGGCCTGAAGTAGGCGAGGGGCGGCGAGCTGGTTTGGGCTGGGTGGTTGGGGCGGGTCTCTCCAGAGGCAGTGAGGCTGGAACCCGAAGGAGGTGGGCGGGAGGTGGTGCACGCACCCCGGCCAGGTCCGGGGCTGGGGAAGGGGAGGGGGGCGGGTCCTGCCGTGGGGTCCCTGGTGCTTCGGATGACCAGTGGGGAGACCAGGCGTGGCAGGGCCTGGTTGCCCAAGGCCTTGAAGGCAGGCCTAGGAAGCCTGAATGTGGATGTCAGGTCCAGCAGGAAGTCAGTGGGAACGTCTAGTCTGACCTTTTCAGCCGGGGCTTTGGATCGTTTTTATTTGCGGCAACTGGGGAGGTCGTGTGCGCATGCGTGTTTGGCCTTAGTAATTTTTCAACGCGTTTCTCGTCTTCTAAACCAGTAATCTTGTCACGTGATTCAAAACCTAAGCCCACATGATAGGAAAAGATACACACTCAGAAGTCCAAAGCCTCTGGCCTGCACAGTGGGGTAGACGAGGTGCCGTATCTGAGTCTGGGAGCTCCTCTTCGGAGCCTCGGAAACCCAAGGCCCTCTTTCTACTCACTTCAGGGAGGGAGCCCCAATCCCGTGGGGGGGGGGGTGTCTTTAATGATTAATCTACTTCAGCCTGAAGTGATTAGCCCTCCACGGCGGGGAACAGCTCCCTTTGTGAGTTGAGTGCCCGGCCATTAACCACAACTCACAGATGGCTAGTCCAGGCTGAGCCCAAGCCCCTTGGGGAGTTGGCTGCTGACCCTTGCCCTGCGAGATAGGCAGAGCCTAGGGGTGAAGGCGGGGTCACAGGCTCCCGGGTGAGGTTTGGGGGTGGGAGGAGTAGCTGAAGGAGTGAGGACTCAAATGCCCCAGGGCTACTTGGGGCCAGTGGCTGCTGTGTGTCCTGAGGTTTAAGTCAGCAGTCCCCAACCTTTTTGAAACCAGGGAGATTTCGTGGAAGACAATTTTTTCAAGGACCGGGAGGGGAGGGATGGTTTTTGGATAATTCGAGCGCCTTACATTTATTGTGCACTTTATTTCTAATCTAGCTGCCGCTGATCTGACAGTAGATACCAGTCCATGGCCGGGGGGTTGGGGACCCCTGGTTTAAATCACTCCAGAAATACTTGTTCCCCACTCTTCTCTCCTTTCCTCAAGTGGCTTTAGTCCTTGCCAGAGCCCTGAATCCCCACCCAGAAGCATTTCAGATAGCTTCACGTGTACCTGGGGGCTCCCCATAGACCTTGTTCTCCTTGGGGGCTCTTGCCTGCCCAGGGGAGGGCCACGGGGCTCCGGGTGGCTCTCTGCGGGCAGGAGGAAGCCTTGGGACTAAGGTCATCTGCCTCTGGCTCCCGGCCAGTGCTGGTTCTGGTAGGATGCATGGCAGAAACCCCTTTCTTTCTGCTCATTTCTATGCAATAGGCCTTCAGCCTCTCTACATTCCATCTATGATGCCCTGAGACCCAGCCCCTGGTGCCTGGGCAAAGGGCACTGAATCCAGGCTCCAAGCCCAGCCGGCACTGGTGGGGCGAAAACCGGCTCAGTTCTGGCCACCTGGCCTCCAGGACGGCTCGCTGAATCCATGAATGAACGGGCGAATGGGCCACTCTCCAGAGAGTGGTGTCAGGCCGTCTCACAACCTCCTCTTGTCAAATCAGAGATGGCTTGCTCCCAGGTGTCCTGGCGGAGCTGGCCTGGCCCAGCGGGCAGCCCTGCGAGGCCGCAGGGGTGAGGAGCCGGCCAGCCGCACCACATGGTTCTCCTGGAACAGAGCTGGCCAGGCCCTGCCAGGCTGCCTGGAGCACGAGGGCGGGAGTCTGTGGCAGGGACAAGGTCAAGAACTGCATCTGGAGGGAGAGGCAGTTCCCGAGAAAGGCGGGCAGGAAGGGGGAGGAAAGGGAAAGGAGGTGGAGGGAACATGGAGGGGCCCTGAGCGAGACTGGCGTGAGATGAAAGTGCTCGGATATTCAGGCCTCTATTTCAGGGGTCAGGGCAGCCAGGAGGCCCAGTGAAGGCTGACTTCAGTCTGGACTTCCCGCAGAATCAGCCCCGTTGGATCTGCAGATGGCAATCCTTGTCCAGCAAAGCAGCCAGGGAGGCCAGCCCTGGAGAGGGGAAAGGGACAAGGCAGCATGCAGGCATTTCCCCCTTGAAATGGATTTGTTGCTTGCAGTCAATGCAGAAAATGGACTAGCTTCTGATAGTGGCTGATGGCAGAACTGTAGCCATTTCAGGGAAACCCTGGTCGGTTCAGGTTTTCTAGTCAGCTTTGTTTTTTTCTTTCCTGCCTGGCATCTCTTAAGTTCTGAGGTCCTGTGGCGTGTCCGGGGATCTGGCCCTCCTCGGTCATTGCACAGCCCTGCCGGCTTACGCAGGAAGGCCTGTCTGTATCTCTCTCTGGTGCCTGAGAAACTTCTGGATGGTGTCTTTTCCTACCCTGGGGCTGCAGGGAACTCATATATATTGCCTCAGACAGGCCATTCCTCCATGATGATGGTAATGATCAAGATACTTACTGATTATTTACTAGGTATGGCCCTGTTCTAACTGCTTACCATGAATAAACTCATTTTATCCTCTCAACATATCATCAGCTGGTTGCGATTGTGCCCCTTGACAGATGAGGAAACAGACACTGAGAGGGGGAAGGACTTGGCTGATCACTTCTCCACCCTCCCTGCTCTATAAAAAGGTTGGGGGACGGGATACAGGAGAGAACCCACCCCCACCCCCCATGATCTTAGTCAAACTCTGAGGCTCAAGAACTGTCTCAACCTGAGAGATCTGTGCTGAGTTTCAGAAACCCATTTTGAGTGTAAGGGCTAAAAGTGACCTCTCTCCTTTCCTTTTTCTCTGGCCTCCATTCCTGAGGCAGTGGGGGAGGGATACCTGATTAGCCTGGGCTGGGGTTGGACATGGGACACCATGCACAGAATTGCATATGATTGGGACTTCCCTGGAGGTCTAGTGGTGAAGTGAAGACTCTATGGGGCCCGGGTTTGATCTCTGTTTGAGGAGCTAAGATCCTGCATGCAGCACTCTGCGGCCAAACAAGGAGAATTGCTTAGTATGTGTAGAAATGAAGTGGGGGCTTGGTTCATATATGAGACGTTTGCACTATTGTGGATATTTTATTTTATTATTTTTAAAAATTGGAGTACAGTTGCTTTACAGTGTTATTAGTTTCCACTGTATAGCAAACTGAATCAGCTATTCGTATACACATATCCTGTATTCCTTGGATTTCCTTCCCGTTTATGTCACCACAGAGCACCGAGTTCCCTGAGCTATATACAGTCAGTTGTCACTAGTTATCTGTTTTGTACATAGTGGTGGTGGTTGTGGTGGTGGTTTAGTCGCTAAGTCGTGTCCGACTCTTGTGATTCCATGGACAAAGGAGCCTGGCAGCCAGGCTACAGTCCATGAGATTCTCCAGGCAAGAATACTGGAATGGGTTGCCATTTCCTTCTCCAGGGGATCTTCCCAACCCAGGAATCGAACCTGGGTCTCCTGCACTGTAGACAGATTCTTTACCAACTGAGCTACAAGGGAAGTCCTTTGTACATAGTAGTGTATATAAATCACTGAGGATGGTGACTGCAGCCTCAGAATTAAGACACTTGCTCCTTGGAAGAAAAACTGTGACAAACCTAGACAACATATTAAAAAACAGACATCTCCTTGCTGACAAAGGTCAAAGCCATGGTTTTTCCGGTAGTTATGTACAGATGTGAGAGTTGGACCACAAAGAAGACGGAGCACTGAAGAATTGATGCTTTTGAATTGTGGTGCTTCATTGGAAGGACGGATGTGGAAGCCGAAGCTCCAATACTTTGGCCACCTGATGTGAAGAGCTGACTCACTGGGAAAGACCCTGATGCTGGGAATGACTGAGGGCAGGAGGAGAATGGGGCGACAGAGGATGAGATGGTTGGATGGCATCACCAACTCAATGGACATGAGTTTGGGCAAACTCCAGGAGATAGTGAAGGACAGGGAAGCCTGACATGCTGCAGTGTCCTCTGCATTGACAGGCGGATTCTTAACTGCCGGACCTCCAGTGAAGTCCAGAGATTAGCATTTGAATCAATAAACAGTAAAGAAGATCACTTTCCCCAGGGTGGGTGGGCATTGTCCAATCCATTGACGGCCTGAATAGAACAAAAAGGGAGAGAAAGCTCAGATTTTCTGTTGAGCTAGGACACCCATCTTCTGCTCTCAAGTATCAGCACTTCTGGTTCTCAGGCCTTCAGACGCCAACCATGGTTCACACTCTTGCCGCCCACCCCCTACCCCCCATGTTCCCAGGCCCAAGTTTGAATTGGAACCGCATCACTGGCTTCCC